CAGGAGTTTCCATCTCCAGTTGCGTTATTTTAACTTGTTAGCAAAATGCAAAATGTCAGAGCTTCAAAGGGTGACAAAACCTAATTCACTTGTGGGCACAACATTGCAATGCCCAGGGTCAACCACTGCTAAGGGGAGAAGGACTGTAATAAAGACAAGGAGGGAGTGATTATGCAGAAGAAGATGTCTCCTAATGTATGCAAACACTGTACTACAAATGGGTACATACTAGCAGCATGGCTCTAGGAATGACAATGTCAGCTCGTCGGTATTCTCAACAGCTATTTTGTACATTGTTCATTTTCTACCAGCATCATGAAGTTGACATTTCTGTTTTATAGTGAAATGCCATGACGTTTGGTACAGACCTCTAATCATTTTAGTGATCCCTCAACTCTCTATCTGGTTTATGACCAAATACTGGAACTAATGGTGGTAAATAATAGTAAATATTAAACCTGCTAAACATCCATTAGAATTTCCACTGTGAGCATGTAGAATGTGGACGTTGGCATTCATTCAAGATTCTTGGAACTAACTAGCAAACTAATTTTGAGCAGAACTATTGTAATCTAGGATTCAATGACCTGAATACAAGCCCACTCTGGTTCCCAAGGAAAACCTGCTATTTTTGTGTTTCAGACGTTTTGGGTTCTGAACAAATGTATTCATGGTTAAAAAGTTCAGAACAGTTCAAAACTAGGTACGTGAAGCAGAATGGAGATGGGTTTCTGTTGGAGGAAAAGGCCCAACGGCCACAATTGCTTGTAGACTTTTTGTTGCCATTAAATCGTCTGCTAGCCAAATTAATAATTCCTTCAAGTCTCTGATACCCTAAAAGAAGCAGAGTAGATAAACAAGTCTTAAATCAGGGCCATAGATTAACACTGAACCATTAGAACACTCATAAACATACACCTCTGAGTTTTACTGAGACTGTACATTTTGAAAGGAAAAATGGGCATGGACTTGGAACAGCGTTATACTAAACTGCTGTAAGCATTAGTTGTTTCATTACTTTATACCCAAAAACATGGCTGTTAAGACTGACAATTTGCATTTGGAATGTACAACAAAATAATGGAGTAAGTCACTCTGAGCACAATTCTTATCTGAGTTACTAGAGGAAGAGCATTAGACGACACACAAACACGGCACTTCAGGATTTCACACACACTTCCTGAGAGGCACTGAGCAAAGACGTTTATCCTCATTTTAATCTTGTTTTACAATAATTTAAACCAATCTGTGCCCTAAGTTTTCTGGGCACAGCCTTTTGCACTGATATTATTTTTGCAAGAAATGTACATGGAGATTGAGACCTCTTTTAATTAGACAGGAACTCTCTGCTGACAGCTTGATGCCGCGATGAATGCATTCGCAAACAACTCCAAGAAGACAATGAGAGGCTTTTACACTTAGAGCTTTTACACTTAGAGGTTTCATCATCCTGAAAATCACTATCTTCTCTTGGCATCACAGAAAATCCTTCCATGTCCCTTCTTTCTTAAATATTGCCTACTTTACTTTTGATGTTCTTTTTAGTGCCTAACATGCAGAGATGGGTAGACATGTAGCAGCAAAGATCCATGAATTGCCTGTCTCCTTTAGAAACTTGCAGTGTGTTTAATCAGAACTTTTGTGACAAAGCGGTGTGAAGTAGAGGCCAGCAGACAAGCTCCATTGATGCCGAGGCAGGCTGATGATGACTCAGGCATGATGCAATAGAGGATAAGGAGGAGTAGGAGAAGAGAGAAGCAGAAAAATAGAGTGATTAGGTGTGGGGAGTATTCATTTAGGAAGACAAACAGCTTCATTTAAAGCTAGCCAAGCACAGAGACGGCCTCTCCCACAACAAATGGGTTGAAATTTGCATCTTTTCGCTGACGGGGGATTCAAGCCCCATCCTAGCTCTCTTGGTCTCACCTCTCAAGTGATAATAGATTATCTAGGGTCTCGCCTGAAGAGCTACTGTCTTTGATTTGCTTTTGAACACATTTTCTGTCTGCTTTTGCCGAGGTAATTCCTCTCTGCTCTTGATGGGCTGCTGATATTGTCACAGCCGCATTTATCCACAGTATATAAGGGCTGTTTGCTGTTTTGTTTCATTCCTTGACTGCATACAGAAAAAACAAAGAGTGCTGAGATAGCAGTCATTTCACGAGTATGATACAGTAGAAATGCCAAACTGAATACCATTATATTTGATTTCTCCCTATCTCTCACAATCACAGTCTACTGATGGCTTTACAGCTGACAATGAAATTAAAGTTTGAAGCTCAGCAAACAAACAGATCATAATGATTATCTGTTAAACACTCACAACTTGTAGATATGATTTCTCTGCGGCTGTTATGAAGCAGAAAATGCTTTGCAGGTGAATATAGGACAGTCTGCTTCTGTCATCAATCACTCATCTCTCTTGTGTTTTCTGTGCTTAAAATCTTGTTGTGAATCCAAATGATGTTTAGAGGGAGTTAAATAATCTAAAGGAAGTGTATTTACTTACTGTTATCTCTACTGCATTTGTTCTGATACAGTGAACGTATTTCAGCTTTGTAATTGACCCAGTGGGTTGGTGGGAATGAAGAGGAGGAAGAGTAGCCACTTGTGTGTGTGGGTAGGTGTCTGTATAGGTGTATATGAAGTTGGATTACTGCCATTATCCCAAAGAATCAGCACCTACACATGCCTTTAAGGTTCCCACTACACTTGACATACAGTACGTTCATGCAGTTACACAAATAGTAAATATTTAGCAGTTGGATACTTGCCTCCATCGCCCTGCCAGGGAGATTTAACAGCCCGGGCAACATTTTAAGAGGTTGTGCGCAAATAAAAAGCCTTAGCATGGAGAAATGGATGGAAATGGAAATTTTCCATCTGAATTACTTTCAGGTGTATTTGACATTTCTATTATGAAGCCGGGGGTATTTTTCATGGTAAGCAGTTCCTGAACATGTACAGAGAGAGGCCTTTCTAGTGCATGTTTACACTATGTGTATAGGGCATTCAAATGAAAAACATTTTGATGAAGAGTCTGGAGGATGGTCTGTTTTTAGACTTTCCAAAAGCACAGCAGCAAAACTGTAGGTAATGGGCAGTATGTTTGTCTGCTATAACATAAGCTGCAATTGTTAGCATGTCCAGCTAATTAGCTCAAAAAGAAACCAAGTGTTACTACATCTAAAAAAAACATCATAACTATATGTACGTTTATACTCCAGCAACCCCCACCAACGTAACTCAAGATAGCATTACGTTTGTCAAACACATCGGTTAGTTCTCTTCGCAAAAGCCTTTTTTGGTTAGGAAAACATATAGTTTGAAAATGTGAACATGTACACTAAGCAGCCAAGCAAAGTTGTGTTAGAATGTATCAACATTTTCCTCATTCTTGACTGACTAGCTTTACGCTGCAGTACAAGAACTATACTTTCCATGTCTTCCATGAGATATCTCTGCCTGAGATATGCAGTTTTGGACTAAACCCTTTCATCATATCATGTATGTAGCAACGCAGCGTAAATGTTATAGCCTTTTTGCAAAAGTCAACTGGAGACAAAGCTAATGCATGGAGTTAACTTTAGCTTAATTAGCTAGCTAGCCATAGCTGGTCAAACCACTGCTTCTAAATGTATTAAGAATTTTGAGTGGCACATCATTGTAAACTGCATACATTCAGTGATGGATTACAAAACCTTATTTTATTCATATTTGGCAGACATATCTACTCTCTACAAATGTTATTGTTTTTGGTTGGTTTATATAAATGTGTAACTGTACATATTTGTCTATGTCTATTTTGTTGAACTTGTCCTATTTATTTATGCTCTTAGTCTGTGTTTGTACTTAAATTCCTTGTATATGTGCTCATACCTGGCCAATAAAGTGATTCTGATTCTGATCTGGTTAAAATGTGTAGTAAATGATGATGCTCTTACCAAACCTTCCTGTTATGAAACTGGAAAAGATTTATATCAGCAATAAAATAGTCTCTTGGCTAACTTTGGCACATTTACAGCAATCATTTATAAATTTGCACTGTCCCTGCTAAATAAACCAATAAATAAATAAGCTGTGTCATATTTGTACTAAAAAACATAGTCTTTTTGCCTCATTAGTTTATTTTATGTTTGTCCAAAAAAGTTAACTTTCACCTAATCAGCATTTTATGGCTCGAATGTTTTCTGCTCAGTGTGTGCAGCTTTCTCCAACAGCACCGCAAAAACCCAGAAGTTAATTCCACCATCACTTGACATTTATAGCACATATTATATCTTGACTTGTTTTTTCCCCCCGACTCTGCCCTAAATTCTCTGCAAATATTATTTTTTTACCTCGAAGAGGTGGAGGAGACCCATTTTCCAATTACAGATCTTGTCTTAAGGTGTTAATTGCTGACTGACCTCTGGAGCTGTTGTGAATGCTGTGTGGATTTTTTAATAACCTCTAATCACAGTGAAACAGAGAGCAGTAATAGAGAAGAGCCACGCTGCTTTTTAACCCTACATCCTTCAATAAGGTGTAATCTCATACAAACACAGAAGCCGGTCGTGTGCCAAGTCAGAATGCTCTTTTGCAAAACATGAGCCTCTGTGATTCATGCTCCTCCGACATTAAAATGACACACGGTTTTGTTTTGTTTGGGTTGAATCAGGTCAGCTGACTAGAAAAGAGCAGGATACGTTTATTGGCATTTGGGTTTTTAAAAAGCATCAGGTCTTGCTTTGTTCTTGGATTTCAGCTGAACCATTTTGATATTGCAGAATGAAAAACCTTTAAAGCAAAATTGACTTCAGAATAATCATAAATATACCATGTTTTACTGCTGCCACATTGCATTGTTGCTTCTCACATCTCCCTGGATCATTACTGTTCATATTCTCCTCACAATGATGAGTGTCCAGGCCAACAGTAGAGCGCTACATTTTGCAGAATGAATCAATGAACACTTCTTTCTCCCTCTCCTAATGTGTGTGTATTTTGTGTGTTTGCAGGCAACCCACCAGCCACAGGTACCGGCACATTGGTCATTTACCTGGAAGACTACAATGACAATGCCCCCTATGTGGTACCATCAGTTGCACGAGTGTGCGAAGACGCCCATGATATGAATGTGGCTATAGTTGGGGGACGGGACAAGGACCTACCACCCAACTCTGCACCATTTAAGATAGAACTGGGAAAACAGCTAGGCCTTGATAAAACATGGAAGGTTACCAGAGTCAACTGTGAGTATTTAATTTTGAAATTAGATTTTTTTCTTGCTCTTGAACTGAATTGAACAGTTTTAGACAAAATAATAGAGTTTAATAACGGTGAATGTTTCAGATTCAGAAATCGAATCTTTCATACAAAAGGCAAAAATGCCAATTTGTTCACCAACAACCTTCATAGACCACATGACAAAACTGTGAGTCACTTTTTCTTTCCTATTACTTTGCCCTCACTATTTTTCTTTTCATCAAGAGCTTTGAGCCCATTCTCAAAGGTTCATCAAAAGGCACCCTGAGGAATGTAGGACTAATAATTGCAAAAAATTCAAGGGTAATTTCAGTGTCATTTTTTTATCCTTTCACACAGTGTTAACATGCTGAGTCCATGCTGAATACAAAACAGAAAAGTCTTAAAGGTCGAGTGTGTAACATTTAGGTGGATCTATTGGTCTATTATTCATTAATGCATAATCACCTGAAAAAAAGGAGATGCAGCATCTCATTTTCGATGTGGTCCTAAAGACATAAATATTAAACAAAACACATATGAACAAAAACAGCATTACATAACGAACATTGACTGCAAATACACAGATACAGACAGCTCGCTCATCCTTTCCCACCCACATTCCCCGCTCTCAGTTGACAAACAGAAAAAAGTTAGAAACAGTGACCTGGATAATAAATCAAAAGGACTGAAGCTTATTAAGTAAATACAAATTAAAAACAAACAACTTGTTTTCAGATGAGAAAATAAAGATGTCCTTAAACAACGGAACGAGGTAATGGATCTAAAAAAAAAAGTATACGATTATTCCAGTCAGATGGAGCTTTAAATTGAAATGACCTGCGTCCAATTTCTTTGAAAATTCTAGGAACAAAGAAAAAAGTTATTGCATGTATCTAATTGGATATGAAGCTCTACATGGGATTAACGACTGTTTCAGATAGGGGGGCCATTTAAAATAAACGCATTGAACCCAGTGAAATTGCCTTCTAGATTTGGCCTGCAATCAGTCAAGTGATTCATACATTGAACATTGGTGTGTTCTATATAAACACCCCAAAATAAATCTATATAAAGAGATATATATAGTATTAAGTAGCTTGAGATAGGTATCTGTAGTGTTTTGATAGACAAAATAGGTAGTAATAGGTAGTATCAACTGAGAAATTATTCTTTTAATGATCTGAAATGTAAAAATGTTAGTAGACAGATATTGAACCCATGCAACCATATGTTCTTTTTTATAATAAAATCAATGTATGACTTAAAGAGGAGTTCAGGGACAATCCAAAGTCCGAAATATGTAAGTGAATCAATGTTAACAAGGGGTGACCCGTCATCAAAAATAATATTGAAATTTCTGGAATTTGAATGACTATGTTGCATACCAAACAACACGCTACTTCTTATTCAATACAAGTTTGTTATTATGAACCCAGTTTTGGATCAAGCTAAAATCAAACTGTCGAGAATTATGGTTTTGAGATATATCAGAGTTAGAATAGTAAATAACAGTGTCATCAGCATAAAGATGAACAACTTAATTTAAACACTTTTTAGATAGATCATTGATGAAAATGGGAAAAAGAAGTGGTCCCAAGGTGACACCTTGTGGAACACCCTTGTCAACAATTAAATAGTTGAACTTTGAAAGACAACATGATGTATATTATGAAGGCAGGCATTAAACCAGAGTAGAGCATTTTTATTTAAACCAATAGAATGTAACTTATTAAGGAGGAGGTAGTGACCCCTGTATTAATTATTAGATCAATTAGTTATGTTTTTGTCACTTTAGAATGAGCTGGTTTTGCCTTCCATTGAGGCTGCCATGTTGAACTACCATGTTTCTACAGTGGCCCAGAACACATTTCACAGCCAGAGTATTTTCTCCTTCACTCTTGGAAGGGGAGGGTAAAACGAGGGTAGATACAGCTATATGCCACTAAATCCTACACACTACACACTGGTCCATTAATTGCAGATGCTGGTACGGATCACATGATAAGGATGAAGAGTGAAATGATACAAGGATGGAAGGGAGGAGGAGGATAGACAGACAACCAAGACATTGATTCAGGGTTGCATGACCAACAGTGCTGTCTGTGTGTGTGTTTGAGTGACAGAGCAGAGCTAAAACCTGCCCAGAGGTATTAGCTGTGACTGACAGCGGGAGAGGGAGGTACAGACACTCCTCAATCACCCCCGCTGGAAGAGACAGATAGGGCCAGCAGAGAAAGAGCCGGCTCCCAGTGAAATGGACTGGCACTGTGCTTGTCTCGGCTGCGTGTGCATGTGTGTGTTTGTGTCTGTGTGTGGAACCAGAGGTAGGAGAGCGGGTGGTTATGCCTTGTATATGCCTAGTATATTGCTCTATAAAAATAACTTCCGTCTTTGCGCGTATTGACATACAACTAGTTTTAATCCCTCTTACTACAGATTGTTGTACAAAAAACGACAAGGGCAAGGCTTGCTGTTTCCCCCTGTTTCCAGTCTTTATGCTAAGCTAAGCCAACCGGCTCCTGGCTGTAGCTTTATATTTAATGGACAGATATGAGATTGGTATCAATCTTCTTATTGAACTCTGTGCAATTTGCAAAATGCCAAACTGTTCCTTCAAAAGATAAATGTGAATAAAGGAGTAAAGAAACATGATGTGAATCAAATGGCAGTCTCATCCCAATTGACCTACAGTATGAGACAAAATAATGTTCATTCCTCCTGTAGATTTCCAGAGACGTCAGTAATCTATGCACAGGAGCACTGAATCTGTTCTGGGGGCTTGTGGTGGAATAACAAGTTACTAAGACACTTCATGTTGCGTTTTCCATTAATTTGACACCCATCCATATGTGTTATCACTCTGGATTTAAAAGTGCGTGTGGCTGAAGTCTAACATGATAATTGCTTAAACAGATAAACACAATTACATGAGTACAGAATGTTTGTGTAAAACCAACTACCCATAGAAGATTCTGTCTGATTGTACTGATGGTACTGACAGCTGTTTATTCATTTGTCACACGTTGATCTGGGTTTGTAGAAATTTTCCATACTGCACTCTGCATCAAAATACACTGATGAGCCAGAGAGGTTGGGGTGACTTGTACAAAGAAGGGCCTCTGCATTTCTGAAATGTTTACTGTTGCTTACTGTTGCCTTGCAACATTGTTTCAAGCATGCAGTTTGACAATGTAAATTTTTGAATTAAAGACAAAACTAAAAGTCACCTTACCTGGAGTTAACAGCCATGGCAGACAAGTAAAATGTGCAGCTTTGCATATTGTGCCAGCATGACGTGAACTGGCTCCAGCACTTTCTCTTGTGTCTCTTAAGGAATTTTAAAGTGTGATGCAACAAAATGTAACAATCTTATGCAACTTATGTCGTGCCAATTTTCATCGCTTTAGTTGTCAGGGATGGCTTTTCAAACAGTTACTTGAGGCATATAAGTTTTGCGTTATAATACAAACATTTAGTTCTGCTTTGCAAATCGAGCAGCAGTGAATGCAGAATAGACGGACAACACAATGCAGGGCGGGGGATTATTGTGTGCCCACTTAATTAAACCTTCCTCTTCCTCTGTGTGTCCCCCACAGCCACACACTCCCAAATCATGCTTTTGCACAGTCTGAAGAAAGCCAACTACCAGCTCCCATTGCTCATCACTGACTCAGGGGTGCCGCCTTTGTCCAACAGCACAGAGGTCAAAGTTCAGGTGTGCGTCTGTAAGAAGAACAAGATGCACTGCAGCTCTGCGCACTCCCACCGCGCCAGCCTTCTTGTGCTGCTCGCGACACTCCTGCTCGCCCTACTCTGTAAGTATTAAAACCACAACACGGAAACAATGAGAACTTGAGGTGATGTATTGTTTGCTTGTATCCTTGTTTAAATGTGGATTAATGCTAAAATAATATGGTATGTTGCTTCCAATTTATCATTTGGTGAGAAATCAATACTTTGTTTAGAAGGTAAACAATATATTGTACTACGGTTATACAAGTGTTTATGAATGTCTGTGTGTGTGTGACATGTACTGATACACACGTTTGTATCGCTGGCATTCATGCATTTGTCAATTGTTTTTTTTCTTGCATCCATTTTCCAAAACTATGTCTTGTGTATTTTACGTTGAGATTTTTTGCCACCCTGCCTAGGGCACTCTCTGGGAAGTCAAACTTGAATTTACTCTGAATATCTCATTTAAGCCATTAGCGATAGCATGAATAATTCAGCCTCCTCCATTGACAACACAAACGTAATGGGCGATGTCCAACAGCTACTTTGGGGCGAAGAAAAATCATTTGCAACTTTAAGGCCCCCAGATCCTGTTCTCCTGTCTGGGCTTGTTCTCTGTAGTTTATAGTCGTTTATAGCTGTACGCCGAAGGCGGGGTACGGCGGAAGGTGTGGTAGGGAGAGTGTGGAGAGAGGAGTAGACAAAAAAGGAATGCAATTTTAAGCCTAAAAATGGTTTTGTTGTAATTATATCAGCTCTTTTTTATCTGGCTGATTTGTGTTTGACTGCAAAATGTTTCATTGAAGATGATCAGAAAAATGTCTGCTTTCCTCTTCCCAGCTCTCTCCTTTTTTATATCTATTGATCATAACATCTTTTTCTCCTTCTCTCACATGTCCCGTTGATCACTCCCGCTTGCGTATTCTGTCTTGTTTTTCCTCCCCTCCCCTGCACGGCTTCTCCTGCTCTTCTGCGTTCTCTCTATTTAGCAATCAGCCGCACTCTCCCCATAATCCTTTGCTTACAGGCAGAACCTCTGCATCTCATCTTCTCATTTTCTCTCAGTATCTGTGAATCACAGCATCTAGCATGACCCATCGATCTTCCTCTGGGTATGGATCAATCTGTCTATTGCTGCATATCTTTTCTCCAAGCTCTCATTCATAGCAGATGACTGTGCTGTGTATGGGAAGGCCTTGTTTGAAACTTGAAGAACTCATCTTGTTCTCTCATGATGCAGTTAGAGCACTTTACCTGCATCTTCTGTTTAAAACTCCTGATTCGCAGGACACAAAGTATTAAAATAAACTGACAACGCGTAGCAGGCAACAGCATAAGCACTCCAGCGATGATAGACCATTAGTCACGGTTTCACAGCAACACACTAATCATGAGCGTAAGCTGATGCTGTGTCAGCATTCACGGGCGAGCAGCCACCTCTCGGAAAGTTTCATGGCAGCGATCCTGAGAGTGTCCCAGCTGGAACAGTCAGTTAGCTTTTCATGCTCTCCTTTTTGGAAATATTTTGTTATCAGTGGTTGCCATGGTAGCAGCCTGCAGTGTCTGAACTAGAAAGCATAATTGGTTGACATGCCAAGATGACATTAGGAGAGTCTTCTCTGCAGATGTCCTTTTGCTCTGAACGACAGTAGCATTCATTACTCTACTGTAAACCGTGCAGTGACAGACAGTGGCATTCATTAACCAAATAGCGCCTCCAGATGACAGATTCTTGGGCTATCTGGTCCTGTGCGCACGTACATGTCCATTCATTTGGACCAAGGCATGTTTGCGTAGTCAAAACAGGCGTAACAGTGAGTGCCGTTATCCTGGAGCTGGAGGTTGGAGATTACAGAGAGAGAGGAAACAAGAACAGTGTGTGCATGTGTGTTTCTATTGGGAATATTACAGCTGAGCAACACAGGTTCCACCAATTCAGATGCAGAACATCTTCTCTCTCTACACACACACACACACACAAACACACTGGCGCCCAGAGAGATGACTCCTGCTCGAGCTCATCACAGAGACCTGTGCTGGGGGACAGATAGAGGGGACTGATCACTACAGTGTATAGTCAGATAGTCTGACAGAGAGGCAGAGAGGATCCTGTTTCAATTCCCTTATCTCCAAGCTGAACTCTGACCCTGCAGGAGGGAGATGAGGGGAAGAAAAATAGAAAGAGCCAGAGGGGAAGGATAGGGAAAGGAGACAAGAATAAAGGTGTGAAGATTAAACTCTTCTGTTTTGTTCTGTTTTTGCCCACCAGGCTACAGGCGTATGCATGGCCACGCAGCAGTAACAGTTTCCTTCATTTCGCTGGCTCATTGCATCTGTATCTCTCCTATCTATCCTTCCCCTCTATTTATGCCCCAACCATGTCTACCAAAAACAAAGTTACAACAAATAATTAGCAAAAACAAATCATTTTTCTAAGAGAAACAATTTTTTTCTGACAGCTTCTTGCAACTATTTTCAAGGTTATGCTAAACATAACATTCTCTAGCCTTAACCAGGCATTCTAGTAACTCAAACCAGTGGTTCCCACAGTGGTTACTGTGGCACCTTGGGGTGCCTTAAGCTACATCTACACTTGTCATTTCAAGTGTCTTAGTCTCAGATGAGCTCATACAGATCATTCAGTGGTTGAACTGATCAGGAATCAGATAAACAGCAGCTCGGTACATGAGATTGTATGTATAGAAATGGCTGGAGCTGTTTTGTCTTGTTGCATTCAGTGTGATTTTAGTGTTACTGTAGCTGCTGTTATCACAAGGACAGAGGAGACAGACCATGGATGTGTTAAGACAAACAGACAGTAAGAGGCTATTTCCACGGACTGCTTATTGACATAGTGACCCTATGGGGAGGGTAAAGATTATATATGTGTCTTTTCAGTATGTGGCCAGAGTACATCTCTGGAGGCGGTACATTTTCAATAAGATTTCACCGCATAAAATAATTAAAAGACACATTAACCTTGGTTACATCTTTACTGTATATTACATTTTACATATAACATAGAGGAAAAAAATAAGCAATAAAGACATAAATTACCTATTACAAACAATGTTAATATGCAGTTTTATGATGTAAGAGATCACAGTTTCAGGTTGTCATAGTGGCACAACACACTTCTCTGCAAATTCCCGGTGCACAGCAGTTTAAAGTAAACAGTAAACAGTGTGGAAAGATTTGTCATTGTAAATGGAGCTCAAACAAATGCTGTTACACCTCATCTGAGATGACCGAACCATAGAACCGAACCCCAAGAGATCTGAAATCAGATTATAATGTGCAGGCTTCTTAGCATATGGCTTTCTGTGGATAGACGCGAACTGTCACACACTAGAATGCCTCATCTACAGGGAAAAGCTATCACATGTGGCAGTGGCACCAAGTAAACTCAAACGAGGAGAAGAAACCTGAACTTAACATGCAGGATGTGAACCCCCATCTTCAAGTCCATGTGATTGCTCTGCAGAATAAAGATGCCACACTTCCTGGATGGTAAAAGTGAGAGATTTCCAGTGAATTCATCAAAGTTAAATGAAGTACACAGTATGAATATATTGTATATTAGACAGGGTTGTTGTTTGTTTTGTCTGAAACATATAGTTATGTAACACAAGACAAGAACTAGTAGCCCTCTGTCAGCAGCAGTAAGAGATTTGTGTGTATGTTTGTGTGTGTGGACTGTGGGTGATGTATTTCTGTGTATCCGAGTGTTCAAGAGAGTAGAGAGAAGATGACTATAAACAGAAAATGCCTCAGTTCCATATTCCATCTGAAAAATCACATTTCCTTAAAAACAAATGCAGTGATTTGCACTTATATTTCATACAAACACAAACAAGACAAAAAGAGGAAGATTAATCTCTGAGTCTCCATAAAATGACACTTGAATCAAGAGAATTGACGAATCAAGCTGATTTTTGTTGAAGAGAAAGATGATCTCTCCCCCACTGACAGATTGTCTCTTGTTGTGTGTATCTACTGGAATCCAAAGGAATTGAAATGATGTGTGGGTTGTGAAGCCTGCTTGTTAATATGGTGGAGAACTGCACTGCTGCTGTCACCGGCCTCGGACCGATCACACCTTTCCATCCCTACCTGAAAACTTCACGATTCCTTCAGCAGCGTTCAGCGTAGCAACACTGCCAAAAGTAGAGCCACGTCCTCACTGGCTTTCTGTCCTAGCTCTCAGCCATATAACACTCCACTGGAGTTGCTTTTCAGACCCTTAAATAATGTATGTAAACCTTCAGGACAGAGAGGGAGGGCGAGTGAGTGCCTGTGTGTGCAGAGTGCCTACCTATACTGTGTCTTCTAATGCTTACGAGACCTTTGTTGCTGTTGCTGGATTGGCAGCTAAATCCCAGGGCTTTGCATGGGCCTACTTTCACTCCCCTCCATTGTAAGCCTTTCCTTTGTGATCAACGTGCCATAGAGTCTCACACACATCCAATACACACATACACACACAGATTAGCATAAAGTAGGGAACAATTATGGTATTATCCTGCAGTCCTGTAGAGGGAAATGCTAGAGATATATAAAGACCAACACACATACACACTCAGATCTGGGGTGTTAAATGTCCATGTGAAAGCATCCATTGTTCACCTGAGATAAGACTTCCTAATTGGGCAAACTAAGTGCAGTCAATACGTGCTCCCATAGGCTGCCGGTGCACAAAAAAGGACGGCCACTCATAAGAATGAATCCTAATTTTAGAAGTGATTACAAGCAGGAATGCTCTGCTTAAACTGGTTTTACTGCTCACAGGTGGCAAACCAACACAGATGACCACACTGCCCCCTATCAGTGCACAAGTGTACTGATGTGCTGTGCAGTACATGCACTATCTCTCTGCAGCAGCCTTACTGTTGCTCAAAATGAAATTCTCAAAGTGGAAGATGTGCGCCTGGAGGTCATAAGTTGGCAAGGTTGGACAGTATGTAAATAATGTGCATTTTACATGTATAGGTGGTGTGGGCCCTGGAGATTAATATGTTTTTGCCCTGTGTGTGAATTTGGCTTATGAGGGATGTGAAATAAGGCGATAAAGTTAAAATCT